GCAGGTAGGGGCGGGGCGTTGCGCAGTGGCGGTCAAGTTTAAAGGGAAGGGTGTGGTTTGGGTAGTTAACTTTGAGCAAGGACCGGGCAGAGGGGAATTCCCCTGGGAACTGATTTGGGATAGAATCCAGAAAAAAATGTTTTGGAGGAAGAGGCGTGGCCAAAAAGAAATTCCCTTGGGATTGGGGTTTTTTTGTTGTTTTTTTTTTTAATGAAGAGGACCATTATGAGGTAGATGGGTGGGGCTTCAGGTAATTCCCCTGGGAGACCATTGAGTTTCTGTGTTGGGGGAACTGGTGGAGCGTGAGAATATTAAGGAAAAATTTATGTCTGGCCTAAAGAAAATTCCCTTGGGAGTGGGTGGGGCTCAGCGATCTCGGGAGAGAAAGGGGCAAATCCAGAATTCCCTGAGTGAGTTTTAGTGCCAAGGCCTTCTGGGAAGGCCCACAGACTTGAGGTTATGGCTCCCCCCCCTCCCTTTTGACCTGCCGCTCTTGTGTCACCCGTGTAGGTTCTCCACCTTTGCCTTGGTGCCAGCCTTCACCCAGCTGAACTACCGCCAGAGCCACCTCCCAGCTGCTGGTGCAGCCTCCTGCATTGCCATTGGTGCCCAGGGCCTCTACAGCAATGTCACTCCTGGCGACCCTGGGGCTGGAGTTGGACAGGACCCTGCTCCCAGCTAGCGGGCTGGGCTGGCTCGTGGACTATGGGAAGCTCCCCCTGGCTCCTGCCCCCCTGGGTCCCTATGAGGTCCTTGGGGGAGCCCTGGAGGGCGGGCTTCCAGGGGGGGGAGAGCCCCTGGCAGGTAAGGACAGGTGGACAATGAGGGGGAGTCACTGGAGGGGCAGGGAAAAGGGGGGGAAGGATTCATTTACTCATTTACTTGTTCAGTTGGTAAATATTACTGAGTGCCTGCCATGTGCCAGGTACTATTTTAGGTGCTGAGATAAAGCTGGGAACAAGAGTGACATGATCCCTGCACTCCCCAAGCTCACACAGCAGTAAGGGGACAGGCAGGGACTAATTGAATGATGAGATTTGGGGATAAGTGGCCAATAGCAGCTGAGCTAAAAACAAATGAATGCAGACATCTAGTTTAAAGTGGGTAGCCCGAAAACCTTCACTAAGTAAACATACTGGGCTCCGAAGGAATGAAGAGGCCCAAGGAAAAAGCATTTCAGGATGAGGGACTAGCATGTGTAAAGGCCCTGAGCAGGAATTATTCAGTAGTATTTTCTTTTTTTAAGAATTATTTTTTTATTTAGTTTTATTTATTCATTCATTTATTTTAATTTGACCAGAGACACAGAGAGAGAGAGAAAGTGAGAAAGCAAGCCATCAGGTCTGAGACTCAAACTGTGGTTGGCCATGTGGGAATGTCCAGCGCCTTAACCACCATGCCACCTGCTTATCCCTATGAGTAGTGTTTTTTAAATGCTTAGCACGTAGTGGATTTTCAATAACGAATGAATGAAGATCAAAAAGAGTTTGTGTGTATGATGTATAATTCGCCTTTTTAAAAAAAGAATTATTTATTTAATCTTATTTGTTATTATAATTTTTCAATTTGAGTAGAGAATAACAGAGAGAGAGTGAGAAAGCAAGTTGCCAGGTTGAGGACTTGAACCATGGTTATGTAGGAGTCCAGTGCCTTAACTTCCACCCCACCTGCCAGCCCCTCTAGTTTGCCTTTTAAGAATAAATAAGAGGGCCGGCAGGTGGCGTGGTGGTCAAGAGCCAACCACCACATGGCCGACCATGGTTCGAGTCCCAGACCTGGATGCTTCTTTTCCCACTTTCTCTCTCTCTCTTCAGTGTGTGTGTGTGTGTGTGTGTGTGTGTGTGTGTCTGGTCAAATTAAAATGAATGAATGAATAAATAAAATTAAATAGTTCTTTAAAGAAAAAAGAATAAATAAGACTGGGGCTGGCAGGTGGTAGGGACTCCCACATGCTGACCATGGTTCAAGTCCCGGACCTGGTAGCTTGCTGGTGGCTTGCTCTTTTACTTTGCTTCTCTCTCTCTCTGGTCAAATTAAAAAATAATAATACAAATAAATAAAATTAAACAAATAATTTTAAAAAATAAATTTAAAAAATATAAATGAGAACAAATCAGAGAGCACAGACATAGGGTACTCAATGAAGGGAATGTTGGGATGAACGAAGAAAAGTTTGGTTGGTTAGCCATTTCTTTCATTGGTTAGTTTATTGATTGGTTGGTTAATGGGTTTGATTGGTTGGTTGGTCCGTCAATTGAGTGGCTTGTTGGTTGGTTGGTCAAATGATTGCTTGATGGTTGTTTGGTTAGAAGGTTGACTGGTTGACTAGTTGTTTGGTTGACTGCTTCATTGGTTCCTTTACTTGTTTGTTGACTGGCTTGGTGACTGACTGGTTCCTTGGGTCACTGCATGAATGAGACACATTAGCCTGGGTGAGATAGACATAAGGGAGCAAACCTGCTAAGGGAGGAACAGGAACTCAGGGATTTTATGTCCCCCCTCCCATCCCCAGGTGACGGCTTCTCTGACTGGATGACTGAGCGAGTTGACTTTACAGCTCTCCTTCCTCTGGAGCCCCACTTGCCCCCAGGGGCCCTCCCCCCACCATCCCCTGGGGAAAAGAATAGACCAACTGGACCATATCAAATATGGGTGTTCTACCACCTGGGGGGCTGTCCTTCACTACCACAGCAGATACTACTGCCGCAGTGAGGCCGCTGGGCAGGGAGATGCAGGGATGGGGCCCCTGTCTCCACCACACCAGCCCCCTCCTCCTCCACCCCAACCCTCTCGCCCTGCCCCATACCCCAATCCTGTCACCACCCGAGGGGACCGCAAGCAGAAGAAGAGAGACCAGAACAAGTCAGCGGCTCTGAGGTATCGCCAGAGGAAGCGGGCAGAGGGCGAGGCCCTGGAGGGCGAGTGCCAGGGGCTGGAGGCGCGGAACCGGGAGCTGAGGGAGCGGGCTGAGTCGGTGGAGCGGGAGATCCAGTACGTCAAGGACCTGCTCATCGAGGTGTACAAGGCCCGGAGCCAGCGCGCCCGCAGCAGCTAGCCGGGCAGGCTCTGGGTGGGGGTGGTCTGCAGAGCTGCCTCACGTCCCTCACCCCTCCCAGCTCCTTCCAGATCTCTTCCTCTGCCGGTGTCCTCATCTCCTCTCTCACCCATTTCTGGATCTGGCATCCACCCTCCTGCCTAGAGTCATGGAGTGTTTGGCCTCAGTCAGTGTCTGCACTCTCACGGCCGAGCAGAGCAAGGATGGAGGCCCAGTGCATTCAGGGGGGAGCTTGCCTTTCAAATCCGGTTTCTCATAGGTTGTTATTGGTGAGGGTGGCGTGGCCTTGGGATGGAGCACTGACTGAGGCCAGAAAGCAGGCAGTGACTGCAAGTGAGAGTGAGAGTGGGGAGGTTAAGAAAGGGACCCACATACTCTAGAAGAGCAAAGCTGGTGACCTAGGGCACCAGAGGTGGCCAAGTTGAAGGCAGCTGGGGAGGGGAGAGGGCGGGGGCTGGCCATAGCTGGTGGCTGGGTACTTTAGCTCAGAGGATATCAGTGTTTTGTGAAGGTGTTGGGGGATGGGCTGCGGGCTGCATCTAGGTGAAGGGTGGGGACTGATCCTTTGCAGGTTCTAAGCAGAAATAAAATGAATTTCCTCTAGCCTGTGTGTCTCGTCTTTGAGAGGAGGAGTTGGGGAGAGGGCAGTCTTAGGCCAAAGACAATCATATCCTGGATACAGCTGGTAAGACTTATGCACAAGGGGCCAGCTGGTGGCATGGTGGTGAAGGCGTTGGACTCCCGCATGGCCAGCCACAGTGCAAGTCGGGGACATGGCAACTTGCTTTCTCATTCACTTTTTCTCTCTGAGTGCTTGTGCCCTTATAGCAAATTAAAAGTAGTAGTAATTGTGGCCGAGTGGTTAAGGTGATGGACTACAAAAATAGTAATAATAACAATAAAATTAAATAAATATATATATATTTTTATTTATTCTTTTTGGAGAGGTTTTTCGCTATAGGGCGCGTGCGCTCGCCAGACAGAGAGAGACAGAAAGTGAGAAGTCACCCCCCAGGGGGGACGGCCATACCATAATCCCTTCTCCATTCTCCTCTTGGGATCTTGGACATGCAATGCACACGTGCCCGACGTGAGTTTAAGCCACTGGGTCCAGGACTCGAACCGCAGTCAACTACATGGGAGTCCAGCAACATAGCTATTATGCTAACTGCTGGTCCCTTAATCTTTTTTTTTTTTAAGTGTATTATTTTTTTTTTTCCATGAGAGACCCCCTGACAAGGTCTCATCATGCTACAATCTGCTCCCCAGCCTTCCTGCCAGCCAGGATCACAAGCAGGTCTTGTGTGTTTCACATCAGCCCAAGATCCTAATCTCCATCCACAGAGCACAGGTATTTACCAGAGAGAGACTGAGAGGGAATGCAAGAAAGCAAGCCGCTAGGTCCAGGACTTGAACCATAGTCGGCCACGTAGGAATCCAGTGCCTTAACCACCACACTACCTGCTGGCCTCCTAAATAAATAAATATTTTTTTAAAAAAAGGGACCAGCAGTTGGCGTAATGGCTATGTCGCTGGACTCCCATGTAGTCGACTACTGTTTGAGTCCTGGACCTGGTGGCTTGAACTTGCCAGGCGTGTGTGCATGCGTGCCCAAAATCCTGAGAGGAGAATGGAGGAGAAGGGATTGCGGCATGGCCATCCCCCCTGGGGGGTGATTTCTCACTTTCTGTCTCTCTGTCTGGCGAGTGCACGCGCCCTATAGCAAAAACCTCTCCAAAAAAGCATAGGCTTAGTCAAGTGCCATGCCTGGTGGGGTCCAGTCCAGGACCTGACTGACCCAGTTGGTCCAGATACAACGAGCCACATTCAGGTTCAGATTACTTACTGCTCGTATAGCAAGACTAGCTGCAGGTGCCAGGTCCCTGCAGTCCTGTCACCTTCACCAGGAAGGACGACGCCAAGACTGAAAGGGCTGAGTGGCTACGGCAGAAGCTGTGGGGTACCCGCGGCTGGAAGGTGCCCCACCGCTCAGGAGCCAGAGCCAGCTGTCCATCCCACCGTCCTCTCGTGTTTGGGGAGGATTGCGAAGTGTTTGCCAAGACTTGGGCACTGCGGTCTGGCTGTCCCCTGTGTGCTTTATCTCAGGTAAGCAGAAAGGAAACTTTGGCTTTTTTTTTTTTAATTTTGCCATAGGGCATGTGCACTCACCAGAGAGCGACAGTGAGAAAGGGGGAAATCACCTCCCGGTGGGGGACGGAGGCCATTCTCCATTCTCTTCCTGGTGTGAGCATGTATGCACACGCTCCCAGCGGGATTTTCAAGCTCCCAGGTCCAGGACTTGAGCCTCTGTAGGCCATGCGGGACTTTAGCGCCATGCTGCCTGCTACAGGTGGCTTCAAAAACACTCATTTTTTAATAAGCAGGGTCCAGAGAAGGAGAGGGACGAAGCACCCCTCGATGGGGTGTGGTCAACCTACAATCCCTTCTACATTCTGCTGGGAGTTGGGGTACACATATGCGTCTAACCTGCCTTTCGAGCTGCAGGGGTCTGTATTTGAACTGCGGTGGACCACGGAGGAGCCAGCTCCTTTAACCAGAATGATAAGGAGACATCTATACATATATATATACATATTTTTTTTTCCTGAGACAATAGATAAAATAGATAAAAAAGTGAAAAAAATTTTCACTTTAATTAATTAATTTATTTTAATTTGACCAGAGAGGGACAGAGTGAGAGAAAGAGAGGAAGCAAGCCTCCAGGTCCAGGATGCAGACTGTGGTCAGCCCTGTGGGAGTTCAGCACCTTAACCATCATGCCACCTGCTGGCTCCAATAGAAGATAAATTTTTATTGAGCCTTTTAGTTTACAACATGAGGTAAAAAGAAAAACAGATTTCAACTAGTATTTTACACAACTGTGGTAAGGTATTTTAGACTTTAGGGATTTATAAGGGATTTTATATATTATATATATA